GACCTGACACCTGTGGCTGCAAGGACACAGAAGCATTTCTCCGTGTTGTCTGTCTTTATCTGTGCTTCTCTTTCCACCCACAGGAGATTTCACCATGATCAGATATGTGTGTTGTCTACTTTTTTCCCTTTCTCTTCCCTGAGAGTTGGGTTCACACGTAGATAAGAGAGGAGGAATTTGGAGCTCAGCCCTTGGAGTGGAACTCTGCTCTCCACACGTGTCTGTGATATATTACAGATATTCCCTGCTGGGCTTCTGTGCTAGAGGAAAGGCCAGTTTCAGTTCTGCCATCGGGGAGCTTTAGAAACTCCCTGTCAATCCAGATTTGTGCTTCTGTTGGCTGTGAAATACTCTAAAATAGGCAGCAGGCTCCAGCCAGAGTATGTCTCAAGGTCCTGATCCCCTGATGGGGCTGCCCTCACTGATCAGTGCCTTGCCCTCTGTGTCTTGCCCATTTGCCCTCTGACCTCTGCATTGAGGTATCTTCCCTGGAGAAGCTCATGTACCTAAGCTCTCAAAAATCTTCAGCCTGGCACACCAGTTTTCAGCTTTTGTTAAAATAATAAAATTCTGATATTATTTTACTCCAATGTGCGCTCAAGATACACCCCGAAACTTTCATTCCTAATCAAAATGTTTAAACCCCTCACTTTTCTGTGTTAAAAATGAAATAAAACTATTCTCCAGTCCCATAAATCCAAGAGGTAGAACTTTCATGAAAATCCCAAATCTCAAGAGAAAATCTATAAGATCATAGAAGAGAGAACTCCTCAATCTCATGCCTACGAGGGAACATATGACCTGTACTCATTTTTAGTAGTCCCAAATACAAACTTGGAAGATTCTTCCATTTTTATAGCCTGGCATCAAAATGCATATTTCCTGGCTGTTGTCTCACAAGTTTTTTTTAATATAGTGTTAGACCAAAATTTAAAATCACGTTTATGATCAGAATTAAACAGCATAGTAAAATTTGTTCTCAAAGGACGTGAACATGAAACGGAAGTACTAGAAATATTAGAGGAGCTTATCTCAAGAAATTCATAAGATAAAATCAGCTTTCAATAACGAGTTTCCGTCTCCTGGCCTGATTATGTGTCCATTGGCATCACAGAGAGCAGAGCAAAGGCAGCAATTTCAATTTGCAATAAGAGCCATAAATCAGAAATGAAGCACTGCACACTTCTGATAAAATACACTGCGCAAAGGCAGCAGGTCCAGCCCTGTTACTGGGCTTATCAAATGGCTATTAGTGTGTCTTTGTGGGACACTTGCATGAAATAGCCCACTAAAATATTTTCTGAAAGTCGAGAGTTATTAAATTGGGGGGAAAAGTATTCAAACTCAAGACGGAATCTGTGTAATAAATCTTCTTTGAACTGGATCCACTCAGCTCAGTTGTGGAATGAAAAAAGTCAGACAGCATTTGAAAACAGTCCCAGCTCTTTAGTCTTGAATTCATCTGACACTGCTTAATCAGGAACAGCTTCCCTTACTTATTACCTGAATAATTTTAATTCTTATATGTTGGTTCTATTTAAGGTCTCATACTACATTTCAAACTGGTTTGAGGCTATGGCCATGATGCTGAAAAGGGTCAGTAGGGCTTTTTTATTGTTGCTGTTGCTGCAAGGCTATTTATTTCTTAGCACAGATGAGGATACTGGGACTAGTTCATGATATTTGCTGCAATGCGTGATTTTACAGACTTCTCATATAAATAGAATACAAGCTTGTTTTATGTAAAATCCCTTTCAGTGTCAGGCTCCTGTATCACAAAGGTCCTCAAAAACTCGTGCTCTAAAAATTCCGTTTCTGTCCCTTGGTAACTGTAAATCAAAATGGAGAAGAGCAAAGGCAACGAGTGTGTAATTGTCTGTTATTTCCTAAGTGACATTGGTGTGTTTATGCCACTCAGTAGTGTTACATCCTTACCTTGAAATGTGTTTTTTTCAAAACAGAATAATCACCTGTTTAGAGTTTCTTTATGTTGACCAAAAAATTAGAATGAGCTTATATAACATTTGCTTAACACTTGTTACTTTTCCCAGGTTTCAGGCTGAGCACTCATGCTAAAATTCAGTCTGCTCTGCCAATCTACGAGGTGCCCGGACAGGTCCTGCTTTCATCTAGGCAGCGATACAAGGTAGTTCTCATACCCAGAAGGTTGTTTACGAACGCCTGCCATGGCTTAGGACAAAGCCGGGGGCTGTGCAGGGAAGGGGAGTGTTTGCACGGATCCCTCCCACTGGGCACTGGCAGCGCTTGGCACACGCGTCGGTGAGCGGCCCAGGGTTGCTTGCCCTTGAGCACATTTCGAGGTGAGGCTGCGGGAGGCAAACAGACTGAAAGTATGTTGTTAATCTCGGGGCATCTGGCACTTGTCTGAGGATGTTGGCTAACGTTACAATTTCGGAGGTTCTGCCCTCTACCCTGGGAAGGTGCAATTATGTGAGATAACTGAGCTGAGCCAGTGGCTTCCTGCTCCTAAGCGAAACGCAGTGACTGGCTGAAGACCTGTCTTATCTCTGTCAATAAAGGCAATGGAAACTAGAGGCTGTTTCTTTGAAATTTATCTTGTTTTTCCTTCATTCGTGCTCTCATTGTGCATGCGCTTAGTATGCTGACCTTGAAGGTGACATTGATGAGTACAGGCTCAGAGAGGATATAGCCAATTTCCCATGTGGAGGAGCACTTGTAGCATTTGCCAGAGGGGCTACTTCTTAAAGTAAATAAATCTTCTCCATTAAAGTAATAACACCCCCCTAGTTAATAGACACCCACCTTCAGTGGCTGTTAATGCAGCATCAGCAGCTCAGCAAGTCAGCGTGGGGTTTCTGCACAAGCATGAAGCCTGCAGGATGCTTCCCACAGACTGTGTGCAAGTGATAATGAGTCCGTGGCCCAACCGGTAGCCCAGCTTGATGAAATTTTTATTCTGCTCTGAGTATGCTGTGCCTACAGCCCCACTTCCCAGAGACTGTTGGGCAACGCAGTCCTCAAAATTTTTCTCTAGTGGGCTTTCTGCAGCCTGCTACAAAACTGGAACTCCACTCCTACCTGTTGTTTCTTGGCTTTCTTGGTTTGTTTCTTTTATTGTGTGCCTCTCCTTTTCCCTCCCAGAGACACAACCTTCCTTTTATATAAACCCCTACTTATTAGAAATCTCCTTCAGAAAGTGCAAAACAGAGGTTAGAGTCCCTCTTTTAACCTCCTTTTTCTGTATGTGAAGACAGTGCTCTACACACTAGCCTGTGATTAGTCTGTGGTGCTCCTGTTGACAGCAGGGCACTGTATACAAAGGGGCAAGAGATCTGTGGGAGAACACACACAAGGGTCCCCAGTCCATCCCTCTCACCCTGCCTGAACACTGGTGGTGTATCAGCAGGGACATCTTGGTTCCAGCCTTGCTGCCAGCAAGTCTTCCTTGCAAAATGTATAACCTGTCCTCTCTACATGAGTGACTCCAAGCTGTTGTGCTAAGTCTAAATGATTTGTCAAATGAGTTTTAACAGAAAATAATAAGCCACATTTCGATATGCAGACAAATAACTTTAGGGCTAAAAGAAGTTCAGGCAGCGTTTTGGGTCAGGAAATCCAGTTTCCCAGAGGTGTCAATTTCAAGGAGCAGGAAAAGCCTTAGTAGGAGACTCTCTTTGGTATTTGCTGTTGGATGTCTTTTTTCCTGGAGTAGTCAACATACTGTATGTGAGGAATTGTTTTCTGCACCCACATAGCTTTTCTATCAAACGAAAGAGTAATTTATGCACCTAATGTTATTTGTTTTGAACATCAGTTCTGGATTTAGGCACCTAGTTCCTGGGATAAGTGCTTAGCTTTATAACATAGACAGTCTTTTGAGAACTTGGTTGCTGAGTTGAAGGCCCTATATCTATGAAATGGAGATAATAATAATTCAACAGTTAAAAAGAAAAAAAAAGGAATAATTTAAAAGCTATGATATAGTCTTATATTACTATGATCCATTTACGGACCACAAATTGTGTTAAGTTCAAGACAATATTAACAAGATATCTTTTATTCCAGTAAAGACCCAGACATGAAAAACCTTACATAGGAGAAAAGCAAGTAGGCAAGCAGACTGTCACAAAAAAAAAAAAAAATCCCAAAACCCAGCTAAAACATAAACCAAAAAAAACCTCAACTTATTAGTAGCTTTTATTTCATATACAGCATAGAAACATGGGCAGATCCTTTCTTCACAATCTTGCCACAAATAAATAAAACCCAAGGCAATGTTTTGATTTCAAAGTGATTCCAGCATTGCAATTTGGACTTCCTTTCTCTTAAATAGAGCTTAATGAATATGCCAAAAGAAGGGAACTTCCACATAACTATGTAGAAAGTCTTCCCATGCTCCTCCTCTACATCCATTCTCTAAATTGGAAACAATTAGTACAAGTAACAGATGGAGAATTTTCTGGCTATGAAAGTCTTACTAAACACCAGTAACTTGTCCCCAAGATACTTGCTGCAGTTCTGTTTCAAATACACACTTCACATGCAGACTTACAGGTAGAGATAGTTATCCAGCGCACTGGGAAGCATGGGCTGGAAAAGATAATAACCCAATGCTGCCAGATATTGTGTGTAGGGGAGGCCAAATCACAGGCAGATTTCGATATTAAAAAAGCTGTGGAGGACTGCTCAGTTTCACCCATTGTATTCCAATTCAGATAAAATACTGGAACATGAGACTGTGCCCAGGACATTTTCATTCCAGTGCTAGGCAGCTCATGCAGAACTGAAACCTCTCAGATGAGGTTTACATTCTTCATGTTGCCCCAACTGCACTGCTGGTGGCAGCTGATCTGACTACTCCAGAACTACCTCTGGTATGTCTACATGAGCTAGCAGCTTAAGCTTGACTCTAGGGGAGATGGAGCCCAAATATTGATTTGTGAAAGTATGCGATCTTGCAATATGAATGCACAAACTTCCTAGCTTGACACATCTTCTTTAGATTGTTTCATCCTTATTCAAAAGCAACCAGCGCAGGCAGCGTTGGCACAGATTTCACACAAATCAGCTTCTTGGACAGCCAGGGCTGTTAGAGAGAAAAGAGAGGGTTTCAATGACATGGCAAGATAAGTTTTTGAAGAGCAAGTGATTTGGATACTCCTTTCCACTACTGTTTTATGAGTTTTAATGTTCCTTGTAGTTATTACTGGTATAAGGAATATTGGTTCTTGTAAAAATCCGATTTAAAGAATGAAATCAAATCTGAACTCATTGGGCAAACAATGAGACCTTGTGGAGGCAAGAGAACAATAGGACATCTTACGGGACACTGGTGGGGATGTGGGTTGAAGAATCACAACATTAGTTATGTTGGTAGCATATCTTCCCAAAGTGTCCATTGTATTGTACAGTAGGTAAATGTAACACAATAAAACAAAAAGCAGATGCTGTAGCAGACAGTTCAAGAATTGCTATGTGTGTCTTGGAGACAGACCATGCCAAAGAATAATTCACCTCATTTACGTCTCTCACTTCTTCTAGGACACCTGGAAAAAACCTTCTTCTACACTCATTAAAGAGAGCAATTAGACCTGCTCACAACTTGTAGTTAGCTAGAACTGAGTGATATAACCCTGCTATCCTGTAAGCCAGAGGAGACCGCAGGCTCTCTCACGTAAAGTCAGGTAAGTTAGTGTGCAACTACTTGGAAGAAGCTTTTTCATGGCTACAGCAGCATGATCTGTACAGGCTACAGCCAAGCTCATCACAGCAGTAATTTTCTTCTAGGGGGCTCACAGCTAGTGTAGTCCAGCCTTTGTAGGAGGGGTAGTAGAAAGGCAGCATGGACTCCCTCAACTGCTTTAGAAGTAACAAAACAGTCATGATGTTTATTTGTCTGCTTCCTTTTGAATGTTTAAGGTTGAAAAATGTCAATTTATGCAATATGAGCTACATACTCAGCCTCTCAAAAATCAGGGACGCATCTTCTCTTTTGCACACAGATTGGAACTCCTCAGGGAGATCTTTTTCATCACATGGAGAATAGCTAGCCTTTGAAACCACCATGTGAGAGTTACTGTGTCTGTTCTCATCCATAAGTGCCTTTAGCTTCTTCACAGACTCAAGGGAGAATTTCAAGTCTCCATCCTATGTAGACAGAACCAGAAAAAAAGGCATCAGGAAGTCAGTCCTTAGGCAAATCCATTCCATTTCAACCATGAGCTCTCCCAAAAACTATACTACAGGGAAAACACAGTGTTGAAACAAAGCCTAGATAAAATCAGTGCTGACTGAAGACAAAATGATCAGCTCTTCAAGGCAAAGACCTTGCAAAGCAGCAGTGAGACCTGGCTGGTTAGTATCACCGTGGATGGAGGTAGAATTAAACATTTCTCACTCCCATAAGAGTGATTCATAAGAACTGGGGTGGCAATCTTGGGGCTGGGAATCTTAACAGGCTGGGAATCTTCAGCCTAGAAAAGAGATAACTCAGCAATATGTGATAGAGATTCACAAAATCATCATTTGAATGGGGGTAAATGGGAATTTATTTTGTTCACTCTTTCTTCTAATATACTATTAGAGGACTTCAAGTGTCAACTGACATGTGGCAAGCTCTAAACACACAAAAGGAGCTACTCATTCACATTAATATTGTTAAGAGCTGAAATCCCTCACCCCAAGGTACTGTGGCAAGTTTCCATGAATCTAAAATTTGTCCACACAATGGAACAAAAGTTATTGGCAGCATAAATATGCCTCAGACTCAAAGCTCATACCAAAAGCTTCAGGAGGCTGGGATAGTATTCTGGGAAATATTGTTGTCTTAGATTGCTAGACCCTGTGCATCTCTTAATGGTCATTCCTTCAGTTTCAAATGAATGCCACTGTTGAGATCACAAACTTAAATTGCAGGTGTTCCAACTGTTAAGCTAGGTGCACTTTATCACAGAAATAACGCAGGTCAGAACTATCCATCTCTGAAGCTTTTCTGTTTTTACTCCACATCTTCCTCCAGTTTGCATCATATTCATTCAAGATCTGGGATGGAAAGTGTCAAGACAGTGGTACTCAGTTTACAAACATGATATGAAGCCAAATGAACTTCGCTTCAGCTTTGCAAAATATTTTGTTAAATGAACTACTTCTGACATATTATGGCAGAGGGAAGGGAAGTCTTTAGAAGAATTTCAGAACACAGAGCATAAGTCAACTTTGTGCACTAATTAGTCAGACCTTAGGGACCTCAAGTAGTCCAAGTGAAAGGCGTGCAACACACATGCAAAGTATACTGCACACATATTCTGGAAAATATTGATTTAGTGATTAATTAATTCAAACTACCCAGAGCTACACTTTGTAAACTTTTGTCCAACCTAGAAACAGCTGTTCTCATTGAGTTGGGGTTTTTTATGTCTTCAAGTGGAAAATTTAGATTTTTTCCATTGAAGCTATCTGTTCTACTGGAGACTCTAAATGTTAAGGAATGGTTTCGAAGAAAGAAATAGATTAAACCTGCTATCTCTGGATTTCTCTGACATCCAAAGGAGAAAAAGAGAGTATTTCAAGGCACAAAGATAGTACCTTATCCCTGGAAACCTGCTGTGCACATATAAAGAGAGTCAATAATTTTTTAAGAAATATTAGTTTTCTTGATACTCTGTGGAAGTTATTTACGTTGCAATCAAACTGAAATCTCCCAAACTGTTTCTAAGGATGAGTGCAGATAGATCCAACACACTCCCAAGTACACTTGTCCCAACACTTGTCCCAGGTAAGACAAGGCCACCTTCTTAACTGCTTACATGTTGCATGTAATAGCAGTCATTGGTGCTGTGTATTTTGGAATATTTTTGGTATAGGTTCCTCTAACAGCTTATCTGCCTATTAATATTTAATTGGATCCAGCTAAATATTTCCTTAATCTTTTTTTTTAATATGCAATATGTGTGCAGGCTCCATCACATAAGATGGCAGATTATTTTCATGAAGAACTTCCTGCCTAGATGCAGGCGACACAAGACAATTTCTCTTTTGTCACATCTTGTTCACATCATTCTATAAAGTTAGAGGTGTCCCCAGTTCTTGCAGCTTCACAACACATGGGGTTATGTGCAAAAGAAAACTCTGGAAATGCAATGCCTCAGTCAGCAAGGTATTTCGAAACCGTGATATGACTGGTGAAGTTGATTAAACTGCAGCAGCATGTTAGTAATACCGGAAACATCTTACAGGAAGAAAAACTGAACCAAGGGAGATGAATTTGGATATCAAGCTAGAGCAAAGCAAAAATTCAGGTCCTTTGGTTTAGTTCAAGATTCCTGTTGCAGCCACAACACTTCACATAATATCAGGACTTTGTTGAACTTGTAATATCAAAGAATTAAAGAGCAGAAAACTCACCTGAACGTAGACTGTCTGGGAGCTGTGCACCAGTAAAAGGATTGCAAGGACTGTAAAGGAAAGAAAGCCTTTCATAGTGCCTGCAAAGTACAGCCTTTCCTAACCTGGATGTATTTTATTTTCTCTGGCTTTGGTCTGTCTCTGTCTTTCTATTGTGTCTGTCAGATTTTCTCTCTTCTTCTTAGCACTCAGATCACCTGGCAGTCAGAGCTCTATGCTCCCAGTGCAAAACTGGAGCTTTATAAAACCTCACACAGCATTTGCTTGGTAATCCATTAATCTAAATTCTTTATTGACATACTATAAACCCTCAGTGGACTATCAATTATCTACTCATTAGCAGAGTAGGCCAGTCACACCCAGGCAGATCCTGGGGTTTACCAGTCTCTCCTGCTTTGAGAAACTGGCCACGATACAGGCAGGCAAAACATTCCAGTCTACAATAAACAAATGGTAGATTGATCTAACGCAACATCTGAAACTCAGTCTCCATATAGGGAATGTACTCAGGTTACTGGCTGCTTCCTGCAGAGCTGTAAGGAAAAAAGACATTTGGAGGGAGATAGAAAAAAAATTGATCTTGCACGCTGAGATGAACTATCAGTTCCCTCTTCTGGGGATTCCAGGTACTAAGATGGTAGCAATGGACTGAGGCAAATGAACACAGACCTTAATATCTGACAAGAAAAGGGTGGTCTCTCTGACTTTCGTTTTCTGTTATCTTGTAGATATTACAAATGCAAAAAGTACCAATAAATCAGTTCATTAGAAGAAATAAGTCATGTGAATGTTTCCTTGCTTTACATCTCTGTCTTCAAAACCATTTCAAATCACGCTGAAATTGTAAAGGGACAGTCTGGATTCATCCTGTTTGTACTGATGGGCTAAAACTGCCCTGCTAAAACCACAGGTGGAAACTGGCTGTGTCTACAGTCCCATACAGGTTCTCCTTTACTGTCTGCTGATGATCAGGAGTATTTACTGTGTTACACGTCTGCTTATGAAATGGTCCTCAGTTCAGATCGCAGGCCTAAGCACAGGTTGTGCTTAGTTTGTCTTCTGTTTCTCCTTGTTCTGTTTCTTTTTCTTCTGAACATCCTTGCCAAGACTGTTGTGGTTTATCTCAGTCACCCACTAAACACCACTTTGCTCATTCTCCCCTGCCCCTGGAGGGTGGGGAAGACAATCAAGGGGAAAGTGAAGGAGACTTATGGGTTGAGGTAAGAACAGTTTAATGATTGAAATAAAATAA